ATTCTAGAGTTGTTCTAATGAGAACACAATAAAGTATTATTATTGTTGGAATTATGAAAAAATGAAAAGGTTCTGTAGAAAAGACCCATAGAGTTACAAAATAATGTAATGTATAGGTCGTAAAGAGAATGGTACGAAACTAAATTGGAACAGCGGCGAAGCTTGAAAAATTGATAACAATACTGGCGCAATTTGCCGCAGACATGAGGTAGCCTCTTGTATCGCGAATCCTTTGAGGATCCCGAGGAAAATCGTGTCTTTTGTATAATTGAAGGGAGGTTAACGATTTTCGCTTTCTTGATTTCCATACGCATGAATGTGTAATGCGGTCGATGAAGGAGAAAGACTTGCTGGTTCCTTTGATGCTGAGGGCAAACGCGTGGATCGACGCATGGAAATCGAGCCATGTAGCAATTTAACATACGATCTACTAGCATCCCCCTTTGCAAGCTTCGTTCTCACTAATTATTTTATGTAGAATTAGAAGTATATAGAACAGAAATATTTCATGAACAAAAACCAAAATGTTAAACCATGGAACTTCAAAGATATTGAGGTTTTCGTAAACATACATTTTAAATCTTTTCACCTCTTTAATGAATAAATGCATGACTGAGCACTTGGCAAAACAAATTCTTAAACTGCAGCACGATCGCTCGACGGATCATCAAAGCTGAACTCGAATCCTATCTATCAATCAAAAAGTTTGGCGAAACGATTTTGACAGAGGGTGGTAGTCATACGGTAGTGGAAGCTCGGAACGGCGGAGGGTATGAACATTCGCGAATCCCAGGGATCGAGATCAATCACGAAAGAGGAGCAAGGATTAAGAAGGGATGCCGGATTCGAAATCATTTCTAGATCTCGCTGCTCCTTTCGGGTTCCGCGTAGAGGGACGGGGTCACGGCATGTAGCTCGCGTATAACCGAAAGAAGGTGGAAGGGAAAGGAGCCGAAATGCAGGCTGCGAGGAAGGAGAGCCGTCACAAAGGAGAATCGGAGCATCATCGGGGCGTTAAGAGGACTCGGAAAGAGAGGAGCCGCGGCAGTCCTCCCGCATACGGTTCTCTGTTGACTGAAGCGACTTAAGTCAACGCGGCGCTCACCTACTGCTCTACGTTCTCACCCCTACGTGCGTCGCGGGACGGGGCGCAAGGGTGGAGGCGACGGAGTGGAGTGGCGAGCGTGCGAGAGGAGTAAAACTCGAACGAGCGAGAGACGGAAGAAGAGGGAACGCGAAGAGAGAAGGAAACGGGGTATGACCGTGTAGCGGCGGTGGCGCGGGTTGGAGCGAGACGAGTCGCGGAGGGTTGAAGTATAAGGATACCGAGGCATGCGCCGTCCTATCATATTGATCTCGCCATAGTAACGATTCTCTCTTCTCCGGCGATGTTGGCATACACTGTACGCGGCGGGACGAGGGGCAACCCCCGACGAGAGAACGGCGGAAGGGGGTTGTACCGCATGGTTATACCTCGCCACCCCACGATGCGCGGATGCGAGCCGCTCGGGGGTGAACGGGAACGACGGAGAGGGTAGCCAGGCGAGCGTGGGAGCGAGAGTGGCGGCGTTGATCGAAGCGGGACGGAAAAGCAGGGAAATAGAGGACGGGGTAGGATTGGACGGAGAGGACAGAGCATCGGTGGCGGTAGGCCGCACGGGGCGCTAGCGCCAAAGAGAGCCAAGGCGGCGATACCGCGCGGCGCTGCAGCCAAATGAAAATCAGTCCAGCGTTGGTCGCCGGCGAGGGCGCATCTGGCAAGCTTGTGACGAGATAACGCGGGGGACGCACACTCGAGGACGCAACGGACTGGGGGGAAACGGTGCGACGTTCGCGATAAAGCATCGATCCTCGGACAGATCATGGACGGAGGATGGTAAACCGTAACGTCACGGTGCTGACGGTCAGACGCGCTCTGAGAATTGGCGGGGATCGGACGACGCGGTTACCGGATCTCGGATCGGTCGGTCGAATGAGCTGGCTCGCTGACAGACAACGCGTCTGCGAGCCGTGCTTGTAGCTCTCGCGTGCTCGCGGACTCTTTCCAGTACGCGGCTCATCCGTCGCATCCGACCCGTCAGGCACAGTTCGGTTTTATATATTCAGCGTGCACGGAGCTTCGTGCGGAACTGTGGTAGCCACGGGGAGAGCCAACGTGAGAGCCGTAACGACGAGAAGAGAACAAACGGGTAACAATGAAAGTAGGCAAGCGAGAAGAGATGTCCTCGATGCCCAACGATGCCGCAGGAAGCCAGTATCGGGGTGAAGCTTAGTGCGTGCGAGGTGTACGCGCAGGGACACGCCGCTGGTCCGCGGAGACTGTCACGTGCCCCTGACAGAACGAAAACGATGCTATCGCCGAGGCACGTACGTTCGCGTGGACCCTGAGAAGACTGAACGACCTCGCGACGCTTGTCGTTTGTTACTGCGAGAAGAAAATTAAACAAGTTAATCCCAGTGCCTACGAAAAACAACACGCAGCTGGCCCGTTCCTGTTCGACGCCTGTTCGCAGCCACGTGCGAGGACAACCGAATAGTGAGGAGGTGGAGGAGGCGGAGAAGAAGCCGGTGGTGGCGGAGGTGGTGGTGATCGAGGAAGGAGCTACCCGCTCCGATTCCTCAAACGTGCAAACATGAGACGTTGGACTCTGATGGCGGCTATAGCCCTGGCTGCATCGGGTAAGTTCAACGTCTATACCGCGGAACGACCTGTATTACATCCTCCCTTCGAGGGGAGACGGCTCTTTTTTTTCCTCTCATCGCGCTGGCCTCTCGTCCTCGGGACGATACGATGATTTCTCGTTCGCAACGCGAACTCCGGTTTTATCCGCTTATTCCCATGGAATCGTTTTCCTTTTCATTCTTCCTTTCTCGCCGGTACGTTTTGTTACACCGCTTCTGTTTCTGTTATCTGTCTGTCTCTTCCGTCGACTTGTTTTTCTTACTTTGCTCGCCTCTGTCTCGGGAGTACTATTTACTAACTCGCGACACGCGAGACGTGCCTCTATATAGGCCGCACCGTAGGGATTTGCATAAGGAAGGGAGCACGGTTCTCGCGGCGCGAAGGTGGTTGAAAGGTTCGCGCCGCGACAATATCGATGTATCTTCGTCGTCTATAATGACGCCTGTCGGGGCAATTTTTACGCGTCTGGCCCGCGCGAAATGGAACATTCGCGTGCGATCGCGTCTGTCAACCGACTCCGGACGACAGCTGGAATCAGGGGGATCGAGGACGAGGTTGATTTACAACCGTCGTTTTAATCTTCCCGGACGTGCGGATTCTCAAACAAATTTACGACCGTCCCACGCGTCAAATTACGATCCTTTTTTCGATTTCAATTATCGCATGGTTTACGTTGCCGACGTCAGGCTTCCGAGAATTATTTAAATAATTAATTGCATTCAATTTTCCGTCGCGCGAAGTGAAGTTCTGTTTCAGCGTAATGAGTAATCGAGTTCCCGTGTAACGGCGTATTCGCGAATCAGTGAAAACGATGCGTGGCAGAATCGGCCAATTGCGCCCCACCTCGTCACTTTGAGCGTTAGCGCGAACGGAAGTTCAACGTTCGCGCCGGCTTCAGGTTCGTTATCACCGTCGCGTCGAGGGGCTCCAAGACGCGGAGCGATTTTCAAATGAGCCCGGGGGAAGGTGTTGCTTTTACTACGTAGCGTGTTGCCACTCTGACGTCATCGGTTACGTTTTCCTCGTGGCGCGCAGCGCGACGTCTCTCTTTCTCTCGTTCTCTTTCGCGCTCGACGTGCCTTCCTCTGTCTGTATCTCGTTAGCACACTCCGATTTCGGTGCTAGCAGACTGTACGTACACACTCACTACGCGAAATCACCGCAGACTAAATATTTGCACGCCCATCCGGCGAGATATTTTTGTTAAATTTCGTTGACGAGCTTCCGCTTTTTCACGCGTCCTACGATCCGGGAACGTTTGTCGAGCAAGAAGAAGCTCGTCCCCGACGATTTTCAACGCGCGAACGCTCGTTTAACCGAATGCACTACATTCCATTTCGAACGAACCGCGCTTTCAACCGAACTAACTTTGTACAATGCGAATTCGACTATTCTATCTCGTTCTATTTTATTAATCACGGTTGTGGGACTCGATTTATATTTATACAAGTATTTATGATGATATATAAATGTAGTAACATTCACCGTCGCGGCTTCAGCCGCGCTAATATTGCGTGTATAAAATTCAAAATGTATAGAACAGAAATGTTCCATGAACTAAAATCAAGTCACTAGGTCACTGAACGTTTTGGTGATTTTTAAATATGTATTTTACGCCTTTTTACTCCGTTAGTGGATGTTCAGGGTAAAATTTAAAGAATTGTTTGATTCAGAAATAAATATACTCTGTGTCACTCCGAAGTATATAAAAAAGCTACAAATTTCGTTTTCAGGATGTATAGGCTATATACTTAAACAATGCTAGCATGTTGAATTTGTTATTATAGACTCCTATTACTATTAAAAAGCTACCTGCAAAATTTTAAATCAATTGATGGGTTTTTTGAAAAATTATAGTGACTTAAAATTTGTATGTACTCTTATGGTAATCAGCAGTAACACAAAGAGAACTTTCTGGTATTTGGTGAGCTTTTATTGTGTATCCTAAATAAGTTCCTCGAAGTTAATATTATTTTCATTTAAAAATATTCTTAAAATTCTGATTGTTGTATTTGCATTTTTTCATATATGAAATCAAAATTTTGCTATTCAACATAAGAATTTAAAATGTAATGACTTTTTAATAGTCTTGCAAAATTTCTAAAATTACACACAGAGTTTTGTTAATATAATAGCTAATAACTGCTAAAATTTGAATGATTTATAAGGGCTCAGGCAACCTTAAACATTGAAAGTCCCGATTTCTGTTCACATCACAATTTCTATTCACTAGCTTAAAATCACATCAAAAAATTGTAGAAAAAAATCCAGTGAGTAGAAATCGTGACGTGAATAGAAATTGGGACATTTTCAATGTCCATTCAGCTTGTGATATTCCGAATTGTTTTATACGTTACACGCGGCATTCATCACTCCTGCACATTGAATTGTCTTATAACTGGATAAAGTCCGCGGGCTAGCTTATGATCCTTGATATTATGTTAGAAATGTCGGGAGATAAATGTAACTTCAATTGGTTCTGAAATGGAAGTACGTTTACATGAACTCCCATTACGTGAACTGAAAATCCATTAGGCAAACTGTATCTCTCGCGACCTATAAGTGGTTGCACTGTCGAGAGTAGAAATTGTATCAGTTTCCTCTGCGATGGATTTTAATTGACGCGATCCCGCGGACTCGTGACCGTTTCCTTGATTAATTGAGACCTTGCCGCCCCCTTTCGCTTTGCGTACAAACGGCTAGGCGTGGGCGCGAGGAAGGATTCAACTCGCCCACGCCGCCGTGCCTCCCGTTCTGACCTCAACAGCCAACCGATCATTGTAGAATAAAACGAGGAGCGAAATTATGCGGAGGAATATTTAGTTCCTCACTTTTTGCTGGATGATCAGGAAATTCAAATCTCGAGCACGACAGTTATTTATAGTCTGTAAAAGTTAAAATTAATTGCGTACTTTTATTAACATTCAACAATTAATATGCTATATTTATATTTTCTACATTCGAGTGTAATTTGGAGTTGGCATTGGTAATTCAGTTTGGCTCCAAATTAAATAATAATTACATCTTTACCAAATTTCGTTTCATTTTTTATAAAAAAGTTTAGGTCGGTGGACGGTAGGTTTAGTGATAAAAGTGCAAAAGGAAATCTGTTACGATATATGGAGAAAGTTGCGGGCTTGCATCCTATCAAAATGCGGCTGATCTTGATTTATGGGTGTACACGTAAATTTCCTAACAAGATTTCAAACACACCCTGTGTACATCAGATTCTGTATACAATACATATTATACATGGACGCGTTAGGCGGTCACGCACATTGCGCATGAAACATGAGTTGACCAACCGAATGCTGAGCATACCAATTTCAGGCGATGCCTGACCATCAGAATGCGATCAGTGTTAATAAAGTATTTGAACAAACACGCGCTGGAACGGATTATGGATTGTCCGATTTTACCCAGATTACAGTATACTTACGATGTATGGTAAATGTACCGATTTCTACTCCGCTACGCATGATTTCGCTATCGGCTCAACATAATAAACGATGTAGTCGAAATTTATAATGAAAAATATTTGCACGTGTGGAATTTAATATACGATATGAATCAGGCAAAAAGGCATTTAAAATTAATTTTTCCAAAGTTCAATTCTAAAATGAAGTCTTGAAGTACAGATCTTCGTATTCAAAACTCGGTGTAATTATTTCTATTCATCCATGCCTGTATTTCTACTGAAATTGTCAAGCATTTATTTTATACCCGACACTAATAATTGTTTTTATATTATTTAATTTATTTACAATCATTTTTATATAGAATGTTGATTCCGAAATTTCTTTTTTATTAGAATGTTGGCCTTATGACTAGTTTATGTAATGAGCATCACCAGATAAAGAAAAGATGTACTATAGTGTAAAAATTCTTAAAACATATTGGAATTTATAAATTGTTACAAGAACCACATTTAATTTCTATTTAAATTTGTTAAACAACGGATACGATTAATTTGTAATGTTCAGGTTATAATGTATACTGTATTAACTAATGATTCTTGCGTAGGAGAAAAAAGAAGCCACTCTTGCAACCATAAAAATAAAATTAACTAATTAACTCATCTATTTCTACTGACTGTCAGTAAAAAAATCAAATTACGTCGTTGCATCTATTTTATATATTTATTACATTAAAATTATCGAGAAATACGTGACATTTACCTTATGTTATACTAATCACAAGACGCGTGTCTTAAAAATTAATGTTCATTAAGATGAGCTACGAACGATCAGCGAATTTTAATCGGGTTCCTTGTGACGGAAGCGGGCATTAATCGAATTAAACGGCAAATTTAATTTTTGTTTTGCCCGACGGGGCAAAACGGAAACAATTATGTCGCGGTATAGACCAAGGATTAACCCGTCCGTTTGTTCGTTTCCCCGACGGCTCGCCGTTTTCGACCCCATAAATAACTCGGCGTGAGTCGAAGACGTGATCAACGTGTCTTTTACGATCTATGTAAGCATCGTAAAACGCGGACCGCCGATGTTTTCTCTCCCTCGTTCGCGCGTAAACTTAATAAGAAATCACCTGCCACTTTTCATCTCTTCCTGTCTCCCTGACTCACGCCGACAGGGGGAAACGGAAGAGCGACCGTAGATCAGTTCTTCTCTACGCGCGATTTAACCGTTACCAATTGGACGTGTCAAATTCCTGTTACACTTCCGTCGATAATATTTTTGCTGGATGCTGGAAATCGACGTGGGAACAATGAGACGTGAATTTTCGCAACAGTTTCACGTCGGCGAACTACAAATTTTAAATACATAATGCGAGCTGAAAAACGCAAAGCGACAAGCGTTGAATGGTTCAACTGATTGCATTAAAGGCCGACTATAGTAATTCATGCACCGTGCATGGAAAGCGAATAAAAAAACAACAGTGGAGGGTTCAGACATAAGCGTTGACCATGGAAACAATGCCTTTTCGCAGAATGTGGGAAAATTTGATTCTGTATGAAAAATAGTTTACTGATAAG